TCTGTGTTGTCCGAATCTGCTGGGATAGGGGATGAATTTGGCAGCCCTTTTAAATGTGTTTTTGTGCTTGGTTTATGTAGAATTAGCTTAATTTGGCTGCTGTGAATTTTATAGAGAAAATCCCGTGAGATTAGCTATGATTTTGCAAATTTGGGAGTTGAAGTTACTGTTACGAGGCACTGTTCACGGGCACTGTTCACACACTGAGGGTCAACGATTAACGGGGATTTAAATGTTTAGTTTGTGATATAAGAATGAATTTGGAGATGTCCGGTTATGTGGAGATTGATAGAAATAGCACCGTGATTAGGGGTAGTGCTAATGATGATTTCATTGTAAATTGGTGGTGGTATGGTTATTAATTGTGGAATATTTTGATTAGGTTTTGATCGTTCTGTCACTGTAGTACTTGGGATAGCCTTCTGTTTTAAATTATGGTAAAGCCCTTCAATTTTAAAGCATGTTTTAAATTGTTTTTGAGATGGTGGCAAGTAAATTTTATTTTAAATTGATTTTATCAGCGTCTGAGTGTGATTAAACTGAAATGAGAATTTGGATGATTTTAATGGGAATTTCATTGTTTTCTGGAATTGAGCATGATTGGAATGAAATTGTTTTCACTTGCATCGAGTAGAGCATGCCTATTTGAAATTGACTGAACTATTTTGATGAACTGAGAGTTTTGTAAATTATGATTTTCTGTTAAATCCATGCCCACATGGAATTTTCTGGTTATTTCTGAAATTATGGATTTCGATTTTGAATTTGGGATTTCGATTGTGAATTTGGGATTTCAATTGTAAATTACGGATTTCGATTGTGAGTTGGGATTTCGATTGTGAATTACGGATTTCGATTGTAAATCCTACATGATTTTGTCTCTGATATGGTCATGACTTCTGATCCCCGCTAGTGGGTGTAACGCTAGCACTTCTGATCCTCGCTAGTGGGTGTAACGCTAGCACTTCTGATCCCCGCTAGTGGGTGTAACGCTAGCACTTCTGATCCCCGCTAGTGGGTGTAACGCTAGCACATGTCGACATGTTTACTGATATGACCGGTTTATTCTAACGCTTGCCACTGGGCGAATACATTGGCACATTCTGACGCCTGCCACTGGGCGAATACATTGGTAAATTCCGACGCCTGCCAATGGGCGAACACATTGGTAAATTTCTGTCGCCTACCAGTGGGTTGTTATAACACTGGCCATGACTTATAGATGAGACTACTAATGAGTTTTATTCTGCATGAACGATTTGTTATTGAATGTTTTACAACTGAACTGAATCTGATTCTGCATTAATGGTTTATCATTGAACGTTTTGTTATGTTAAACTGTTTATCTGGCATGCTAAAGTTTTTACCGAGGGCTATCCATATTTACTTACTGAGTTATCTCATAGTTTTCCTTGTCCACTATTTCAGGAAGCGAAACCGAGGACGGGGAAACCGAGGGGAGTGACGAGTTAGAAGGCTAGCCATTTCGAGATTGATCTAGATTTTAGAAATAAATCATGATCTTGTAAACTAGAGCGTATTTGGAGATTTTACGATATCAGAGAAGTTTAAAAATTTTATCTTGAGATTTTGTGGTATCAGATTGTAATTTGAATAAGTTCCGAGCCTTGTGCACTTGTGGGACCCGTCTCACGAGTGCAAGGCGTCTGTCGCGCCTCGAATTCGGGTTTTAGGGCGTGACAGGCTGCCTGATGTACTATTTGGTAAGACACTTCAAAAATAGGAAATCCATGGATTTGGTGAAGTGTACAATTGGGTTAAAAAGAGCATCTTTTGGGAATTACCATATTAGCACACAAACTTGATTCGACAAAATTTAGATGTCATGCACTGTGAGAAAAACGTTTTTGACAATATCCTTCATATAGTAATGGATGACCCTAGGATAAAAGATAACATAAATGCAAGACTTGATCTGGAATTGTATTGTAAAAGGAAAAGTTTGCACATACCGAAAACAAGAGTGAATTCGGGTCAAAAACCAAAGGCCACTTATGTCCTTAGTAGGGATCAAAGAAAATCAATATGTCAATGGTTGAAGGAACTTAAATTCCCTGATGGATTTGCTTCCAATATATCTCGATGTGTTAATACACAAGAGGCACGATTATTCGGTATGAAAAGTCATGACTATCGCATTTTCATGCAAAGCCTTATACCAATTGCATTTCATGATTTATTACCAAAACAAGTTTGGGAGCCACTTGTTGAGATTAGTGAGTTCTTTAGGGCCTTGTGTGCTCGGGTGATTTAGGCAAAGAAGTATATACCGTACCGTACCGACCGTACCGGTTTTTGGAGTAGACCGAAACGGAGTAAGAAAGGATTTCGTTTCGGTCAAAATCCGGTGATTTCGGTCAAATTTCAATGTACCGGCCGAAATTTCGGCATACCGACCGGTACACCAAAATTTAACCGGTACAATATGCAAGAATTTCAAAAAAAAAAAAAGATTTCCTGGCCAAAACGACGTCGTTTTGGCCAACCCTGCAATTTCCGGCGCCCAAATACTCCTCTGTTCTCGCGTCCAACTGTCTCTTGTCAATCTTCCATTTTTTAGTACAGTTGCCGCCTACAATTCAAATCAATTCAAACTTAAAAAGCATAAATTTCATTTTTAGTCCTCAATTTTAATATTTTATATAATTTTTATCATTTAGTTTTTTTATATACTTTTTTAGTCCATTCTTCTTTTTTTTTAGTCCTTTTATTAATTATTCTATTAAATTTTTCTAAATACACACATTTTTAATCCCTTAATTTAAAATAGATGGACAAAAAATATGTATATATTAAAAGTTAAGGGATT